GGGGGTCCTGTTGCATTTACAAGTGACTTTGCAGAGACAGAAGCCATCTCTGGGCAGCTCTGCAGGTATCCCCAGATAGGGCGGTAAGGAGGAAGGAATCATCAGGGGAGAATCCGGACAAGGTGGTTAGTGGTGTTGGTACTGGAATTTCTTCCTTCAGTAGGTCCTTGGTCTTGTGGGATTCGAAGAATGAGCCCAGGGACCATAGATAAGTGGTAAGATAGGATTTTGTGAGACAGAAAGAATACAGATGGAGTAAAACCCAAGTCGGAAATCTCCCTCAGGGGTCCTTTGTCTAGAGGTATCTCAGTATTAAATCTTTGGGGTTTTTGCCTCGGAGAAGGAATTAGGACGTGTGCTCCCTACTTAAGTTGGAACCACCCAGAACTTCAGGCTGCTCTGTTCTTGATCTTTCTAGAGCCCAGAGAGTGTGGCCTGGAAAGGGTAGGCTGTTTGTGCCTAAAGTTGCGGCTTGGTAGTGTCATGGCATGCATCATAGCTCCCGGCAACCTCCAACTCTTGGGCTCAAGTAATCCTCTTGCCTCAGTCTCCTGAGTAGCTGGGATTATCAGCACCTGCCACAATGCACTTCTTTGTAAGATGGGGTCTTGCTCTGGCTCAGCTCTGGCTCAGGAACTCAAGTAACCCACTCACCTCAGAATCTCAGCGTTATGATTATAGGTGAGGGCCACCAGGCCCAGCTATGATGAACTGAAAATGACTCCCCTAGGTTTAGGGTAGTCTCAGTTCAAAATCTGGCCCTGTCTTATGAATTCTAGGCTGGAGCCGGATCTTCTATGTACTTTCTAGGTAGAATCAATCTGGCTCTGTACTCTGTTCAAAGTGAAGGAAGCTGGAGAAGAGATTCCCTCATGGAAAGGCTCTAACACATCCTGAAGGAACTATATTTAAATTTTGCAGCTATAGATTTAGGTCTTGGAGAGGTGAGGACATTATAGTTGCGTTCTGCACATCCATGAATATTTGCGTACAAGGAGAAGGGGAAATTGAGATTCTAAGACCTATTCAATGCACGTGGGCAATGAAACACAGCTGGCATGACTAGTGCTCTGTGAATTTATCTTTATCTGTTCTAATTGCTTAAAATGAGATGGTACATCCCAATGAGGCAGAGAGATGATCATACCTATCAATTATGAGGCAGTGTACAATGTGCTGCACAAATGTGGGTTGTGACTGGAAGCCCTGGAAAGAGATGCCTGTACAGAGAAATTTGTGGGGCACCTTATAGGTCTGGAAACCCTGGACAGCATTTCTGAAACATAGAAAATCTATCCATTATTCTAAAACAGAAAGAAAACTGGTTTATAACATAATTAAACTAGAATGTAATGAGCATCACAGGAAATGTGGCAAGAGATTGTGATAATGTAATCTTCAAGTAGAGGACTTCACAGCACCATTCTTTTATTTTCTTTTTTTCTGAGACAGTCTATGTTACCTTCTGTAGAGTGCTGTGACATCACAGCTCACAGCAACCCCAGTCTCTTGGGCTTAAGTGATTCTCTTGCCTCAACTTCCCAAGTAGCTAGGATTATAGGTGCCCACCGAAATCCCTGGCTATTTTTCAAATCCTTTGGGATTCTGGACCCCACTTAAATTAATGTGGTTCTGCAGGTTTGGAAGGGATCTATGAAGTGCCTTCTATGACAAGTCCCTCTTAAGGCAGATGATGCCCTACTCTCCCAGACCCATTAGCACCAGCACTCAGCTAGAGACAGCAGGGACAGCGCACAAAGTACCCCACATCCAACACTTGTAATACAACACCAATATCATCCTGAAAATTCACATTCTTTGCAGGCAACTGAAAGTTAATATTTTCATGCATGGTAGTCTTCATAGTATGTTTTTAAAAATCAGGAGAGAAAAAAACTGCAAAAAAAATCAGCAGAGATCTCTAATTCTTTTACAATTAAATATATTTATTTTACACAAAAATTTTCTAGTCTATAACTTAATATGCTTAGCGTTACCGTTTCTGTGTATTTGTGTGTAGAAAATGTAAACATTAGTTTGTATTGCTGCCTTAACTTTTTTTATTACTCTTTTTACAGAATAATTGGCAAAATATTGTAAAAAAAAAAAAAGCACTATTTTTCTCATAGATTATTTCTGTGGTTTTAAGCACCAGTTTAAGAAAAACTTCTAGAATGGCATCTAGTATGAAGCAAATGTTCAAATAGAACATAGCTCATATGGCTATATGGCCATAGCTCAGTGGTTAGGGTGCCAGCCTCATGGGCTGGTAGGTTC